TGAACTATGCATTTCTTGTATATCTTTTTTGGAAAGCTTTATGGGCATTCTTGTGTGATGAGTTAGTTGCTCTTGGTAGCTTGCTTAGGTATGGTACTGGTTTTGGTTTATAGTTGTTCCATTAACTTGTCTAGGGCTTCATATGGAGTAATATGGAGTTTAACATTGCTAAACAATATTTACACTTTTTGCTGAAAGCTATTTTTTTTAACACTTGAAAATACTGAATTTAGTGTCTGAATGTTCTAGTCTTAATCTTTCTTTTGTTTTTTCTTTTTTTTTTAAAGGAACCTTAGTCTTTACCATCCAAAGGCCATTATGGCATTGAATTACTATAAAAATCCATTAAGATTAACAGTAACTAATCTGGTTCCTTTTACCATCCAATACTGTGACTTATAAGAATCAGACCTGAAAAGAATTAAGTGTAAAAAAAGGGGAAAAGGCTGAAAGGAAATGGACAGGAGGACCGCCCAAATCAAAACCCTGAAATGAAGGGTTAAGATTTTTTCTGTTTTAAAATTGATTACTGTTGGGGACAGCGAATGGTCTTAGTAGATTTTAGAGACCATATTCCATCTTTTCTTTTACTCTCCTGCATGTGTATAAATTCTCAATGCCTCCACACAATAAAACAGAAAAAAAATTAAAAAGCATTAAATACTCCATATTTACTCGATTGGATTTTTTTACATGGTATCAGAGCAGTGCCTGTGATAAGCACTGATTTCTCTTATTTCTATATTATACTATTACTCTACTACTCAATGGCAAACCCTAATACAGATGTGTTGACATTCTTAAACTCGGATCAGCCTGGAATGCAACTTATCACAACTACCCTTAATGGCTTCAACTATTTGTCTTGGAGCTGAGCCATGGTGATTCCGTTGAGAGCCAAGAACAAGCTCGCTCTCGTTGATGGAATATGCAAAACACCCGAACCTAATGCAGTAGAATATGGACAATGACACAAAACAGATAGCATGGTGGTGTTCTGGATCCTAAACTCGATGAATAAAGAGCTCACCAGCGCTTTCCTATTCACCACATCAGCAAAAAATCTGTGTGATGAAATAAAATAGAGGTAATGTGAAAGCAACAGGCCTTTGTTGTATCAATTAAAATGTAAAATAAGTTCTATCACGCAGTCTAACCTTTCTGTCACAGCCTATTATACAAAACTCAAAAGGCTTTGGGATGAGTTAACCCACCTAAGGCCCTCACCTGCTTGCACTTGCCATGCTGCAACACAACACAGTGAAATAGACAATACCGATAACCTGATTCAATTTTTAATGGGTCTACAATATTGATCAGGAATAGAGCTTATTCTATGGTGATTAGTGTTGAAAAACAAAAAGAAGTATACAATATCAACTCACCTGAAGGGACGCCTGCTGCATTTTACACCAATCTGAAAGACAATCCAAAATTTTCAAACTAAAAAAAAGAAAAAGACAGCATGACATGCACTTATTGTAGAAACACATTGCACACGAAGGACAAATGCTTCAAACTCCATGGCTACCCAGAATGGTTTGTAGAACTCAAAGGGAAAAGGAACAAAGAAAAAGCCAATGCAGTGGCAAACAATGCCCCCGATGACACCAAAACAGAAGCATCCAACACAAACTGGGGCACAAAAATGACCACACTCATACTACAAGAGATCAACAAGTACATGAAAAACTAAGGAGCAAACACAGTAGAGTCGGTAGGATGCGTGGGCTACTCTGGCCCCGCTGGCAAGCAACCTAAATGTTATTTTTTACATGCCTCTAATGATATAGGAACTTGGATAATAGACACAGGTGTCACATCACACGTATGTCATGATTTTAAAATGCTTTCAAAATCCATAAAACTAGAACCTACAGTGTTTATCTCGCTACCAGATGGAACCGCGAATCATTTAACCCATAAAGGAAGCATAAAATTGTGTGACAATCTAATTCTGTAGGATGTCCTCTATCTACCAAAATTTACTTGTAACCTTATTTCTGTTAGAAAGCTAACTCAAGCTTCAAATACCTACATTTCCTTTCATCCCAACCATTGTTTTATACAGGATTTGACAACTAACAAAATATTGAGGAAATGAACAATAATGAAGGGTCTGTACACCCGAAGTGAAGACATAGACTCTAACAAAGCATGCATCAACTACATCCAAGAAAATAACCTACAACTATGGAACAAAAAGCTCAATCACACATTCATAAAAAAATTGATTCACATCCCCCAGTCTAAAGTTACCAGGCAGTGTAGCTTTACATGATTGTGAAATATGCCCTTTGGCAAAACAACAGCGTTTGTCTTTCCTTAAAAGTTCCATCAATACCAATGACATTTTTAGTTTAATACATGTTGACCTTTGGGGACCATATCTGGTCAATTGTATTTCTGGTGCACTCTATTTTTTAACCATAGTTGATCATTTTTCAAGAGCCACTTGGACTTATTTATTAAAAGAGAAAACGAGTGTACCAAATACTTTAAAATATTTTTGCAATTTAATACAAAACTAATTTCAAAAAACAATCAAAAAAGTTAGGACATACAATGACACTGAGTTCATAAACATTTCATGCAAAACTATTTTTCAAGAAAGGGGAACCATGCATCAAAAAACCTTTACATGCACACCACAGCAAAATGGTGTGGTGGAAAGGAAACATAAACACCTACTGCAAATTGTTAGGGCATTGATGTTTGAATCAAAATTACCAAAAAGGTTTTGGGACGAAGTCATACTCATAGCCATACAAATAATAAACGTTTTGTCAAGCTCTGTTTTAGAGTAGAAAACTCTTATGAAATTTTGTACAAAAAATAGATAGATTACTCAAACCTAAAAGTCTTCGGTTGCCTATGTTTTGTTTCAAATATTTAACCCCTAAAAGGACAAGTTTGAACCCAGAGCTTTGAAATTTATTTTCTTAGGATATGCACCCGATGCTAAGGCATACAAATTTTTATATGATATACTAAACAGAAAAAAGATTTTATCAAGGGATGTCATATTCCATGAACATATTCTCCCATACCAAACACAACACCCTAAACCAGATTACTATGATACACCACTACCAATACCAAGCATCGACACAGTAACTACACCTGAAAACCAGTTACAAAGAAGAGAAGAAATTCCCTTACCAAACATCATTCCCAAGAATCTGAAATGAAGAGGAGCATCAGGGTGAGAAACAGGCCCGCCTGGATGGAAGAATTTGTTGCCCATACCACCGAACAACCTGTGCCCGAACCTCCCTACCTCATGTCCACCTCACCTACATACAATCATGGCTATGTTAATTTCATTGCACAAGTGTCTATTACGAAGAAACCAATGTCATATAGGGATGCTAAAAAGGACAGCAAGTGGGTTGAGGCCATGCAAGCTGAGCAGTCCACACTAGAAAACAATAATACTTGGGAACTAACTGCACTACCAAAAGAGAAGAAAGTAATCGACTCAAAATGGGTATATAGAATAAAATACAATGCCGATGGATCAATTGATAAATACAGAGTAAGACTCGTGGCTAAAAGTCACAACCAAGAGTTTGGCATAAACTATCATGATAGCTTCTCACCAGTGGCCAAAATGGTCATGTTTCGACTATTTTTAGTCATGGCCATCGCAAGCGATTGACCAGTATATCAGTTAGATATCAATAATGCGTACCTACATGGGTTTGTAGAAGATGAGCTATACCTAAATCCCCTAGAGGGCTACTTCAAGACCAGTGAAGGGCAAGTTTGTCATTTAACCAAGAGCCTGTACGGCCTGAAACAAGCGGGTCACCAATGGAACAAGGAGCTGACTTCAAAGCTTCAATCCATCGGCTTCACCAAGTCAGAAGCTGACCACTATCTATTCACAAAATGAACAAAAGAAAACTACATTGCAGTTGTAGTATATGTGGATGAGCTGTTACGGGTCCTAACGACGAAGAGATTTGTGAAGTTAAAAGCACCCTAGATGAAGCCTTCACGGTCAAGGATCTCGGCCAAGCAAGATACTTCTTTGGAGTCGAGATAGCTAGGTCAAAAAAAGGGATCTACATTAGCCAGAGAAAATACATTAAAGACATTTTACAAGATACAAAGATAGAAGATGCAAATGGAAGCCACTTTCCCCTGCCTTCCGGACTAAAACTAAATGCAGAAGAAGGAGAAATCTTACCAGATCCGGAAAGGTACAGACGTCTAATCGGCCGCTTACTCTACATCAACTTTACCAAACTCGACATAATATACTCCACCCAACATCTCAGTCAGTTCATGCAACAGCCCAGATGGCCGTATCTCGACGCCGCACTCCATGTTATTAGGTACCTAAAGCAATATTAGGAGCAAGGAATCTTCTTCCCGAGAAGGAATATACTTAAAGTTCAAGCCTTTTATGACTCGGACTGAGTATTGTGTCTGATGACCTGCAAATCCCTCACGGGCTTCTGTATCTTCCTCGGACCTGCACCAATCTCCTGGAAAACAAAGAAATAAAATACAGTGAGCAAGTCTTCTGTAGAAGCTGAGTATAGAAGTATGTCATCTACAGTATGTGAAGTTCAGTGCATAACCTATCTCCTTCGAGATTTTCAAATAGTACCTCACTTACCCGTAATAC